ACCAGCGCCCGCACTGCGTAGTTAATCACGATCCTCTCCGGCGGGGGGCAGCGGAACGGGCAGGTCAGCTGCAGCGCGCTCTGCAGCTGGGTCCCCAGGTGGTGCGACAGGCAGGTCGCGCAGAAGTTGTGGCCGCAGGGCTCCAGGGCCACGCATTTTGACAGCGTGTTGAGGCAGATCTGGCACCGCAGGTCTTCGAGGGTCGACTGCTCCGCGGTGGTGTAGCGGCTGGTCGCGGTGCGGAATATAGAGGAGGAGGACGGCGCCGCCGCCGCTGCCCCACCGCTGGCGCCAGCGCCGCCGTTGCGGCTGCGGGGGTGGGTTCGTCGTGTGGAATTTGAGGGTTGGTGACGAGCCGCCGGCGAGGGTCTTGCGGGACAGGTTGTTGAGATGCTGGTCTGATGAGCCCCGTCGCCGGCAGCATCTGACGCACACTGTGAGCGCCAGCGATCCAGCAGCCCGCGCGGAAACGCAGCGCGCCGCTGGTGCGCGGCGCAAAAAGGTAGACGCCGACCCGCACCTGGGGGAGTGCGCTGCCGCCGGCGAGTATACGCCGCTCGCGCCACCCGCAGAGTCGAGCCATGCGTGCTCCTCGCCGCCGTCCTGCTGGCTGTCGCGGGGGTCGCCCTGGCGGAAGAGGAAGAACTGCGGGCGGGCGGGCAGCGGGGTTCCCTGGGAAGTCGGGAGGGCGCTGCCCATTGGAAGAGACGCGGGCGCCGCTGCAATGCAGAACTAAGGGTGCTCGGGCGCCCCGCAAAGCAAGGCGCGAGCCCCCGCAGGCGGCCGAGCCGCACGGGCGCGCCGCGGCACCGCGCGCGGCCTGCGCCCCACGCCCCCGCACCTGCTCCACCAGGGGGGCGACCGACGAGACCAGGCTGATCTTGTCGCCCTCGGAAAGCGCGACTGCGGGCGGCGGAGGACGCGGCGGCCCGGAGTGGGAGAGGGGCTGCCGGCCGGCGTCTCGTGGCTGCGGTTCAGAGGGGTCCCAACGCCGCAGCCCTGGCGCCCGCCCACACTTGCAATCGTGCGACCCCGCGGCCACCCCGGCCGCCAAATCCACTGCGCCCGGCCCGGCCCTGCCTCACCCGACTCCCCCTTGCCGATCTTCTTCCCGTTGATGAATGTGCCGTTGCTGCTGCAGTCCTCCAAGACAGCCACCTGCTGCCGCTGCTGATGCTGCTGCTGCTGCTCGCCGCCCCCGCTGCCGCCGCCCGGCCCCGCCCTGAGGCTGATGATGCAGTGCAGGCGGCTGACGCGGCCGTCGGCCACCTCGACGAATCCGAGGTTGCGCGCCAGCGCCGCTGACAGCTGCCGGTCGCCGCCGATCGCGAGCAGGCTGCGCGGCGTGCCGCGGCCGGCGCTAGCCCCCGCGCCGGCGCCGCCGTTGGCGGCGTTGTTGCTGCTGCTAGCGCCGCCGCCGCCGACGGCCCACAGCGCCTCCTTGCCGCGGCCGATGGCGACACCGGCGCCCTTCAGCACCACGTAAGGCAGCATGCGCGAGCCTGGAAGCGTTCACGTGATGCGATATGATGCGATAAGACAGTATGTGGGCGACGAGCACTTGGAGAGCGAGCTGGCCGCAGACTTGCGGGCGAGTGCTGCCCGCCGCCCGCCGCACAGTGCCCGCGCCCCCCAGGAGCGGCCAAATCGTTGGTGCAGAAGTGGCCACCCCGCCGCACTCCAAAACCCCCCTGCGGAAGCTCAGCAGGCCGCAGCGACGCCCCGCGCCGTCCCAAGGGGCGCCTCACCCGGCACCAGCCAGCCCCAGGGCCCGTCCCCCCTGCTCGCCCGCGGCGCCGCCGCGGGGGCCGCGGCGGGCGCGGTGTGTATGCTGCGCAGGCCGCCCGCGATTTCGTAGAGGCTCAGTTGTGTGCTGTCGACCTGGCCCGGCGCGCTGCGCCGCGCTTGGGGGTCCTCGGCCGGGCTTTTACGGGCAGGGGCAGCGTGTTTGGGCGGAAGGTGGGGTGAGGCGATGAGTTGGGAGGGGCGAGGGGAGCGGGGCAGGGGGTGGCCGGCAGCGGCCGTTGTAAGGGTGGTGCACGGCGTGCCTTGAAGCGGCCGCGGGGCGAGGTGCGACCGCCCCGGAGGGCGGGCCACGCCGCCGAGCGCGCTGCCGCGGCGGCGGCGCGGGGGCCAGGTTGCGCGGCTGCTGCCGGCCGACCTGGTGTACTTGTCCACCTCGGCGAGCAGCAGCGTGGAAGCTTCCTTGGCGTAGACGCGCACCACCGAGTCCAGGGAGCTGCCCGCCTCAGCCGCGCGGCACTGGGGTCCACAGGGCGCCCGCGGGGGGGCTGGGTGAGGGGCACGCCTCCTGGCATGATCGCCCCCGCGCGTGAATCCCAGGGTGTTGCCGTGCCGTGCAGGGCGCGCCGCTGGCTCGTGTCGAGGCCGCTGCCGCGTCGCACGAAGCCGCTGAATCAAGGACTGCAGGGGGACGCTCACCACGTAATCATATGCCTTGGCCTCTATGGCCGCTGCGATCAGCGCCGCCGCCTCTGCTGGCACGGTCGCGGCAACATAGCCCTGCGGGGCGGGGCCGTGGCACGGTCACGCGCAGCGTGTATGTATTGTACCCATGTACAGCACACTGCATGCGGGCCAGCACGACCTCGCATGCGGAGCGTGTCAGGGCCGCCTGCAGGCCCGCCCGGCCGGGTGTGGACCGGAAGTTGGATGGCTAGCTGCACGCACGCCGCATGCTAGGGTGAACGAGGTGTAACTGCTACGCAGGAAGGCGGTGAGTGCAGAGGGGGGGCGTGGACGGCCGCCTGGCGGCCGCAGCAGCGGCGAGGGATGCAGCAGCGCTCGCACCTCCCGATGAAACACCAGCGCCTGGAAGTTGTCCGCCAGCTGCACACGCAGCGCCGCGCGTTCGCCCGCCATCAACACATCAAGGTCGCCGTCAGAGTCCGGCGGCGACGCCGGCGGTGCGCCCGCTTCGCCCCCGTCCGCCTGCGCGTGCGCGCCTCGTGCGCTTTGGCCGCCGTCCTCCGATCCCATGCTATGATCGACCTCTACGGCTGGCATGTGTTCCTCTGCAAACCCCGCTTCGATTGGCAGGCCTCACTGTCTGGACATTGGTCACCACCTTGGCGATCTGATCATATGTACCAGCTTTATTATCATACTATATACCGTACGTCTGAAAGCTTAAAGTTGAATTGACTTGCACAGCAAATTGAAGCTGCCACCGCCCAGCTGGGGCTTGCATTCGCCAACGAGGGTGGCCTCCTTGCCCAGGCGTGTCGTTGAAGCTAGGTAAGCCTTAAGTCAATTCAGTGTGATCCAGCTGTGCCGGCTAAGTAGATCACCAGGGAGCTGCAGGCTCGGCGCCCCACCTCGTGCTGTTGCTGCACGTGCTGCATCTGGTCGGAGCTGGCAACAGCGCTCAGCGCCGCCACCCGAGCATCAATTCTTGACATTCATGTGCCCTCACCGCCCTGTTCATAACTAAAGTCCGTCGTCACACTCACCTCGCAGGCCGGCGGCGGAGCGACGGCACCGCACGGAGCGGTGTGCATTCACTAGCAGCAACAGCGGCGGCAGCAGCAGCAGCAGCAGCAGCAGCAGCAGCAGCAGCAGCAGCAGCAGCATCTGCAGCAGCAGCAGCAATGTCGGACTCAGACAGCCCCCCGGCTAGAAAGCAGCTGCCCGAGCGCATGTCTCGCGGCAAGCGGCTAAGGGAGCAGGTGGGACAGCGTGACGAGGGGCGGGGGCAAAATCCAAGAGCATGCGCCGGCATCCCAGCAGCGCAAGCAGCCATGCGCCTTGTCTCGGCCGCGGGGCCGAAGCGAGCGAGCCCGCCGGCCGCTGCCTGCCTCAAGCGCTCCGCTGCCCCGCGCGACACCCCGCCGGCGGACCCGCCGCCCTCGTCCACCCGGCCTGCCCGCCCGCGCCCGCCCGTCCCCGCGCCCCTTCCCCCAGGTCGCCGACGAGGAGGCCGCCGCGGACGACGAGTTCTGGCAGCAGGAGTTTTTTGCCGACGAGGGGCAGGACGAGGACTTTGAGGCCGAAAAGGAGGTGGAGGAGGAGGATGTGGTGGATTCGGATTTCGACGAGCCAGAGAGCACAGACGACGACAGCGGCGAGGAGGTCAAGGA